CCTTTACTAGGAACTGCTGCTGTTATGTCAGCTGTTGTCTGTGGTGACGCCAAGCCAAGAGCATCTGGCCCTGGGTCTTGCAGAGAGAAGGGGAAGTGGCCTTGGCAGCTGGGCCACTCCTTCCGGAATTGTAAGGAAGCACTAAGGATCCAGGAATCCTGATCCGAAGGGCAGGGGGTGCTGGGCACCCACAGAAGTTCCAGTTCAGCCTGGCGTCTCTGCCCAGGTGGGATGAGCAGCACCTGGACACGGAGGGCGGGAGGGGGGAAGATCTTCAGCCCCCGCCATGCTGTGCCCTGTCCTATAACACCAGATCCTGGCCTGCTCACTGCTGTCAAATTCACAGACTCATAGCTAACCCTCCACTGGGTTCCCAAGACCTGGATGAGATGGATGAGACGGACTGACACAATAAGTGGGGTAATGGGAGTAGGTGTGTCAGAGTCAGTGAGACTGGCGCAGGACAGGACAGGCTTCGGGGCTGTTGTCCATAGGGTCGCTATTCGCAAGCAACTCTGTTGCAGACCAAGAGTAAAGTATATTAATAAGTATTAATAATGAGACAAAACACCAAGAATGTAGGAGAAAACAGAGGTGAAGCAGGAGGTGAACAGTTTTCAAACAACTGAAGCAAACTGAAGCGCTGGTCCTTAGCTCCCCTGTGTCTTAATGAAAATTGCCAGGAAGCAAATCACCAAGAGGATGCAGTGCAAATGAAACTAATCTCTTTCTATTGAAAAACCTTCTGCTTGACTCAGGAGGGAGGGGTTAGCAAATATAATGCAAGAATCCTGTAAACGCTTAAGGATTGCCTTAGTGCTTCAGGGGAAATTCCAGCCTCCCTCATAACCTGAAGTAGCATTCGGTTTATTACAAATATTTAGTATGAAATTTGGCTTCCCATACAACTCAATGGGCCATAACAACAACAACAACAACAAAAATTGAATGAGAAGAGATTTCTCATCCTTCTCCCTTGGAGCTACTGGTGGGTTCGAACCCCCAGAGAGGTGGTGCCTTTGGGTTAACAGTACAGCTCCCTACAATCTGTGAAATACAGCCACCTCCAGGGCACAGGCATTCTTCTCTAAGGCACAGCCTTCTCCTTGGCTTGTCATAGCCAGAGAGCGTGAAAGGCAGTCCTTGTCCACAAGAACCCCACGTACCACGGCACAGGGGACAAACCTGAGCCCATCGGCTGCCAGGACATGACCTCTGCTGTGTCCACTCGGAGTCTTGGCTGATCCCCATCTACCCATCGTCATTACCCACCCCTGTGGTTGCTGCCTGGGACGCCCTTTTCCCTCTCCTATTCATCCTGCAGAACAAAGGCATGGCAATTAAAAAAAAACAACAAAAAACAAAAAACAAACCATCTTTGAAAACCCCCTGAAGCACAGTTCCATCTGACACACACGAGCTCACCGTGAGCTGTTGGAGTTGACTCCAAGGTGACTAATTTATTTATTTATTTTATCCAGACCGTGCCTACCTACTACCACCATCTCCAGTGCTGGGGTAGACGTCGCTGCCCCACGCTGTCCCGAAGTGTCCCACAATGCCCTTCCCATTGACGCCATCAGCTCCAGTCACAGTGACCACTAAATCAAGACCAGGTGTCATTTATCAATCATTTCTTCATGTATGTTTTCAATGATTTCATTTTACTTAGATTCACAATTAATACCCATGTTAACAGCGTTCAAGAACTCAAAAGACATGTTGCATTGGGAAAATCTGCTGTCAAGGACCTCTCCAACGAGCTAAAGAGAAAGAATGTTAAGTTAAAGCCTGAGATGCGCTGAACCAAGCCATAGTCTTTTCCGTTTCTTCCTATGCATTACTGAGTTGGGCAACGAGAAAGGAGGACAGAAGAATAACTGACGCCTTTGAGTTGTGGCATTGAAGAAGAGGACTGAATAGCCCATGGACTGCTAAAAGAACGAACAAGTTGGTCTTAGAGGAAATGCAATCAGTGTGCTTCTTACAAGCAAAGATGGTGAAACTGTGTCTCACATGCTCTGGGCGTGTTAGCAGGAAAGACCAGTCACTGGGGAAAAGGAAGACCCTCAACGAGAGGGATTGACACAGTGATTGTAACAATGGGGTCAAGCATGTCAGAGATGGTGAGGCTGGGGCCGCCGAGGGCCAGGCTCAGGTCTGTTGTTCACAGGATCACTGTGACTCGAAGTTGACTTGATGGCCACCCAATAACTCGCCTCTGCAGTATAAGCATTATTTACCCCTATGTTATGAATGAGAAACTCAGACCCCACGTCTTGTATTGTGGGACTGCTCCAAGGGTTTGCAAGGCTGTGATCTCCACTCTCCCCCCGCCCACCCCCCAACCCTTCCATCCCCTGCCTTGTTTACCATCCAATAGGATCTGACTGGTACAGGAGGAGCTAGTCCCTCCTCCAGCGGAGCATCTGGTGGAATCAAACCATGTTCAAGGCTATAATCTTTTATACAAAGATCACCAGGCCTTTTTTTCCAGGGTACCTCTGAGGGAGTTTGAACCAACAACCTTTTGGCTAGTAGTTGAGAGTTTAAGTATTTGCAGCATCTAGACACTCCTTGATGAGTAAAAGCCATTGATTGTCACATTTACTCACTTAATCCCAAGGCAAGGCCAAAGTGAGGTGGGGGAATGGGGAGGGGGTCCAGTCCATTTTGCTTACCAGTCTCTCCCAGCTTGCTGGGTATATGTGTAGATCCCAGCTGGGAAATGATAGCAGTCCAACTAGAACCCGACTCAGGGCTGGCCTCTGCCTGCTGCTGCAAATTTAACTGCTGGGCCCTCACATTTGCTGAGCTTGCTTCTCCATCAGGCCCCAAGACAAGCCCCCCAGTGAGTCACGTCCTTAGTTGGGGACCCTGGGCTCCCTCCCTCAGAGATGGCTGTGTGGGTACAGAGGGACACAAGCAAGGCCCCTGGCATGGTGCCATGTGCTTGGTAAAACCCTGCCATCTGTGACCTGTTCTGCACTGAACTGTGTCCATAATGTGTTGTAAATATGCGTCGTAAATTCTAATCGCCATGATCTGTCTCTGGAGTGTAGGGTGCATTTTGAAACAGCCTTTGTTGGCATATCAAAGGAATGGCAATTAAACTAGCAAGCAGAGGTGAGGGAAGAGAGAGGCCAAGTTACAGGATGATGGTCCAGGAGTGGAAGCTCAGAAGAGACCCCCGTTGAGAGCCAGCAGAGTGGCCAAGCTGGCCCACTGAACTTGGACTCCAAGGCTCTTGAACCACATGTGAGAACAAACCACTCTGCTGGGGAGAGCACAGAGAGGGTGCTGCTTGGAAACTAGGATGGTGAGACCAGCTCACAGACTTTAGACATTTTATCAGGAGGGGTTAGTCCTTGGCGGGGAAAGCCCCAAACACATCATGCTGTAATTTAGAGGGTCCGTGAAGGAGACGAAGACCCTTAACGAGGTGGGTTGACACAGCGACTACAAACATGGGCTTCAATGGTAGAGACGGCGAGGATGGCAGAAGATCAGACAGGTTCCACTCTGCTGTGTGTGGGGTCGCTATGACACAGGACCAACCCAAAGGCACAAACTGGGAGAAAGTGAATTTCTGTTTGTTAAAGCCACTCATCTGTGGTGTTTCTGTTACAGTGGTATTAGATAACGAAGAGCTTTTGTCAGCATTTTAAAATGAGAACATTTCTTAGAACAGGGAGCTCTGGTAGCCTAGTGGCAAGGAGCTGTGCTGCCAACCTGAAGGCAATCAGTTCAAACCCACCAGCTGCTCCACAGGAGACAGATGGGCAGTCGCTTCCTGTGCAACTTACCACCTTTGAAAACCCACGGAAAGGTCAGCTGTGAGTTGGTAGCGACTCTACGGTACACAACTGCACAACATTTCTTAGAAGAGTTTTTGATTTGCAGAAGAATCTAGCATAGTACAGAGTCTCTACATCCTCCATAACCAATTTCCCCCACAACAAAGCCTTTACACAAATATGGTTTTTATTACAGTCACTAAACCAATGTTGATGTGTCATTGCTAACTGAAGTCCGTGCTTTATTTGGATTTCCTTAGCTCTTAGCCAAGCTCCAGCGTCCCATCTGGCAGGCCATGTTACAGTTAGCTGCTCATTCAGGATATTTTATTAGTAATGTTGGTGATTCCAACTCGACCCCATGCCTCACAGTGCAGAACTGCTTCACAGGGTTTGCACGCTGTGTTCCTTTGGCCAGGCATCATCAGGCCTTTCTTCTGGGGTATCTCTGGGTGGATTTGAACACACAACCTTTCAGCTTGTCTTGGAGATTCTCAGTGTTCATAGCATCCAGTGCTCCTTGATGAGTAACAGCCATTGTCACATTCAGTCATTTAATCCTGCACCCCTTGTGTGAGGTGGGGTGGGGCTAGGCTGTAGTCTGTTTGCTCACCATTCTTCCCCATCTAACTGGAGGTTCTCAGGAGCAGGGGTGATGTCTCCATGGTCTTGTTCTGCAGGCCCCCAAACTTCGGCCCGAGTGGAGAATAAACTAACCGTGCTGCCCACCCCTAGCGCCCTGTAGACCACCAGCCCAGAGGCCTGGGTGTGAAGGCTGGACCATGGGATCCTGACCATACAGGGAGGTAAAGGCCAGGGCTCTGGAGATGGGACAGTGGGCCTGAGGCTGTCCACAGCCCTCCTACAGTCTGACCTTCTAGAAAATTCTTTCCTTCTCCTCTCCAGGCAGAACCACTGCTGCTATGCAGGCAGCCAGGTTGCTCCCAGCTGTGAGGCTGAATGCAGGCATGAGGGGCCAAGGGCAGAGTCTCCACCAACATTTCAGACCCCAGGATGGGAAGGAGTCTGCCCCTGCTCTGGGCCAGGAGTTTTACCACACTCCCTAGTGACCAGGTGGGCACCACCAGGTGAGCCTCCTCTGCTCTTAGAGGCTCCCACCAGCCACATCGGCTTATAAGGCCTGGCCCTCACGGCAGTCAGGAGCAGGTTCTGCAGGGTCTCTGCTGTGCTGGGGTCCTTGCCATGGCCTGCAGTTGCCGTGTGCTCCTGCTGCTGCTGGTTGCAGCCACTCTGGGGTGGGGGCTGGGCCAACATTCACTCCCGGAGCCAGATCTCCCTGGTCTACAGTACAGCTATGAATGTGGGGTGCAGGGCATGCAGCTGCTGGTGCTCCCCAGTCCCGGCCAGCATGTCGGCTTCAAGGTGGTGGGTGAGTATCTAATTCAGTATACTGTTCTCCTCACCTCTCAGACCACAGGCCACAGTCAAGTGATGGAGGCTGCCCCAGAGCAGTTGTGACAAGAGCAGAAAGTTTCCCTGAGGTGTGGGGGTGTCTGTCTCAGTCCCCCACCAGGGCAGAGGACAGAGGAAGAATGGGGGGGAGGGGACCTGCCAGCTTTCGTATCTCTGCCTCTCAGACACTCCGAAACCACGGTGGACGGCATCACCTGGCCGCTCCCTGAGATGCCAATTCTGACTCGGTTGATGCCCCTGAGTCAACAAGGAACTCTGTTGTACAATGGTCAAATGCTGCTAACCAAAAGGTCAGGGGTTCAAACCCACCAGCCACTCCATGGGAGAAAGATGAAGCCATTGGCTTATCTAAAGATTCTAAAAAACACAACCCATTAAGGCCATTGTCAGAATCAGCTCCTAACTGGCCTCCCTGAGATCCTGGGGCTGTAAATCCCACTGGAGGACATTGCTTATCTTTCTCATATGGAATGGCTGATGGATTCCAACATCGGAGAGGTATCACCTGTGGGTTAGAGCAAGTCACGAGAGCTTCCGCCATAAAAATTGCTGTTGCTGTCATTGTGTACTGTCGAGTCGGAACCAGCCCATAGCTGACTCTAGCAGGTTTTCAGAGGCAGTAAATGGCTCGGGAACAAAGCTTTTGGTGGATTTGAACCGCATGCCTTCATGTTAGCAGTGCAGCTCCTTGCCACTAGACCACCAGAGCTTCCTCCGTGAAGATTATAGCTGTGGGAATCAGTGGGGCAGCTCTGCTCTGTACGGGAGCCAGGGGTCAGAGTCCATTTGACAAGGACTGTTGTGTGCCACCAAATGAGAACCAACCCTGACCCTCCAGTGGGTTTTCAGAGGCAGTAAATCACATGGGACCAGCTGCTAGATCCTTCTCCCACAAAGCAGCTGGTAGATTCAAACCACATGCCATTGGGATTAAAACTCAGCTTCTTGTCAGTAGGCCACCAGATGTAGAGCTGGTACAAACGTGTTCATCCCCTGTGAGACTGTAACAGAATATTAGCGGTTGGGTGTTTTTAAACAGCACGAATGTTGTTCATGGCAGTCTGGAGACCCAGAGAGTCTCTTGAGGAACCTGGCTTTTCTCTCTCAGCCTCTAGTAGCCCCAGGTGAGGCCTGTAGCTGCCTCCTCACCAGCTGCCCTTCCTTGCTCTCATAAGTCACCACTAGGATTGCATCGTGACCCACCTGCTCAAGTACGCATGTTAAATGGCAACATCTTCAAAGATGCTATTTCCAAATGAGGTCAATTCACAGATCAAGGGTGAGGCCTTCCACATACCATGGTCCCATCCACCACTGTCAAGGGCAAGAGTCTTCATCCCAAATACTCCTCTGAGGCCAAGACTGACTGCTGTCTGCTCCATGTGCCAGGCCTCTGGTGGACATGGCCTGGTCCGGAGAAAGGGATTGTGGGCTTAGAGTAGATAGGAAACTGCAGCTTCTCACCTGTGTTCTCTTGGGCAACTGATCAGCCTCCATCTCCTTAACTGTAAAATGGGAGAAGTCCTGCATTTAGCGAATGGACTGCAGAGTGGGCTGACAAGTGGTGAGCAGTGGCTGTAGCTGCAAATCCCCTTTCTGCCCTCACTGTGAGCACCTGATAATGACCCCCCCCGCCCCCAGGTGTCTCATTATCCGCAGAATGTTAACAAGCCTAAGACTTAACGCAAGGCACCCAGCTCCAGGCCATTTTCTTCCTTCCCTGTGTGGACTGGATGCTGTGTGATGTCTACAGGGCCATGTCTAGAAGGAGCTTAAGACCCAGTTGAAGCCAGTCATTGACTTTCAGTTGAGGACAAGGGATTTGCCCAAGGATACACAGCAAGCTGGTTAGGTCTCGTGCTGCTTGAGTGGGGAGTAGTCTTAACCCCATGCACCCTTGAGTCCCCCTGACCTGCCTTCTTCCACTCCCACCCCAGATGAATTTGGAAACCAATTTGACGTGAACAACTGTTCCATCTGCTACCACTGGATCACTTTCAAGCCGCAGGGGGCAGTGGTCTTCTCTGCTGATTACAAAGGCTGCCACATGCTGGAGAAGGTAGGGAGTCAGATTGGGCTAAGTGTCCAGTTGGGAGGCCCCTGCAGAGTGGCGAAGACCAAGCATCCAAGGTCACTGAGCGAGTGTGTGGGCGAGAAGATAAGCCGTGCTTCAGTGGGAGGTGCTGCAGCTCAGCTCTCGGGGCCTCCCCTGCCTGAGATGCTGAGAGGTGTTTTCACCTAGTCCAACTCCTCTCCTTGTGTGTGTGTCTCCTGCAGGATGGGCATTCTCATCTGAGGGTGATCATAGAAGCTCTGCTGCCCAACGGTCATGTCCAGGCAGCACAAGACACCACTTTGATCTGCCCCAAGCCCAAGATCTCCTGGACTCCAGACTCGAATCTAGTGCCACCAACCATGTCTTCACTTTCTATTCCTACTTCCCTGCCTTTCCAACCCACCTCCAGCGAACCCTCTCTTGGCTCTGGCCCCGCCCTCCCCAGCCAGGCTCGCCCATCGCCTGGCCCTG